GAGAGGGAGTGAGAAAGGGAAGAAGGAGGAGCTGGAGCAGGAGCCTGTGAAGAAGCAGAGAAGGAGTGAAGCGGGCGGAAGAAGTAGGGAAGAAGGTGTGTGGGAGGGGCGGAGGGGAGGAGCGGCCCGGCGCGAGGAGGAGTCTGCAAACTTTCAGTTCAAGGGCATTGTGGGAAGTAGCCATGGTCTGAGGCTGGCGCCTCACCTGTCAGCCAGCCGGGCTGCCAAGCTCTCTTCTGGCTGTCGCATCCTTGGCGATTGCCACTGTCGCCACCCGGACGGCTGCGGCCACCATGGTGAGTACAGGTTGAGCATCTTGGTGGAACTGGCCCGGGCGGTGCACGCTCCGGGTGACACCTGCGGCTCCAGGGCCGGACATGCGGCAGGGAGGGGGTGCGCGCCGAGCCTGGCCCCGGGTACCTCCGAGTCACCGGCGCTGGTGGCCCGGCTGCTCCGGACGTGCTAGTCTCTCCCGCCTGCGAGTCCGGCGGACACCGGGTGTCGCGGCTTCATTCATTTCATTCTCTTTTGTTGATCGCTTGGTCCGAGCCAGGCGCTGGGGATGCCGCAGGGGACTAAGTGCTTACACTGCTAAGAGAGGATGCGGAGGGAAGGAGACTGTGATGGAATGGTGAACTAAAGGCAACTTCTCAGAGTGAGGAGACGCCTCAAGCAACCGGGCAACTTTTGAATCGGTGGCCCTTTTTGAGGAGGTGACATCTGAGCTCTCCGAGGTCCTAGAAGGGTGCAGCATTTGGAGGGCTTCGAGAAACGAAACCCCAGTTTGTGGCTGGAGAGGTGGGCGTGGTCCCGTGTAAGCGTGTCTTCTACATAAGCTAGAGTTTTGGTTTTTGTTTCGCTCGAGTTTTGACAAGAAAACCGACTTTACCTGTTCAAAACTTTGTGAACCCCTGGGCTGATGGCAGACAATGGACGAATGGACTCTCTCTCTCTCTCTCTCTCTCTCTCTCTGTGTGTGTGTGTGTGTGTGTGTGTGTGTGTGTGTGTGTGTGTGTGTGTGTGTGTGTGTAA